CTGTGTTGCTGTACGACTGACGTCACCCTTAGTTTTGAACGTTTCACCCCAAATTGCTCCTGTGGGGATTGTCCACAGTATTGAGTATGTTAGTCGCTTTGGATAAAAGCCTCTAACAAGTAACATGTCATGTCATGTGATGTAATGTTCTGTCCCTGAGTGAGAAAATACAATTTTCCTCCAGGGTACAATAAGGCTGATCTTATCTTCTCGTTTAATTCACAGTACACTTGAAATGGTTTCTTCCGTACAAGCCAAGGTCGTCTGTCTAACTCAATTGAAGGTCAGACAGTTCACACACTTTTGTTCAACAGTACAGTAACTTGTGTTAGTTACAAAGTCTGTGAAAAAAAAAAAAAAGAGCTGGCCTTCAGGAGGCATTTGATCTCACTCAAAATGACAGGCTTATATCGACTCTGTCCATGATTTGTCTAATATCTTAACCATATATTTTTCAGAACCTGTATATTTATAAATGTCATTATATGAAAGTAAGAATTACAATCTTATATATTTAATTTGAAATTGTTTTAAGATATGTATCACAATGGATACTTTACTTGGTAAAAAGTACAATATGCCTGAGCCTGTCAAGCTTCTAAATGCCAAGGACACCCAAAATAGAGCGCTGCCCTGCCAGGACCCCCAACAATAAGACATAAGCTATCATCCACCCACCTAGTGTGCAAGACTCTGCACCATCTGATTAGGATGACACTGCTGTGGAAGATGTACCTGCATTACCTGTTATTGTGTTAATTATAGGGCTGTCAAGTTAAAGCATTAATAACGCATTAACGCCACTAATTACTTTAACGCGATTAACGCATGTGTATTTTTTGTCCTCGGCCGCCCCGTAGTTTCAGAGCGCATCGAGTTTAAAATACCATCTACAAGCTGATGCTGACAGCCCCGCTCCTGCCGTCCGCTTGCGGCAGACCACACTTCCACGCTCACCGGCAGGCACCGACTGGCCATCGGGAGGACCGGGAGGGTGTGTGTATGTGTGTGGCGCGAGAGAGAGACCTTACGTGTATTGTTGTTGTTAGCATCTGGTGCTAGCTAGCTGCGCTAACTTATATAAGGAGCTGTTTAAATGAAAACAGAGGCGCGACATTTCACCGACAACTGCGCCGAGCACTTGCAGCCAGACAGTGGGATATTGTGGGAAAAGTCAGCACACTCAGCACGGATAGTGCAACATGATTGCAGCGTCCAGGCAGCTCCCGTTCGAGCATATGCCTTGAGTTGCACATAGCTCCAACGATCACACACACACACACACACACACACACACACACACACACACACACACACACACACACACACACACACACACACACTTTGTATTGTATGAGAGAGGTTCCAGGTTGAATTGAGGCTAATATTTGTAATGTTCAGAGGTTGTTGTGTTTAATATTCATGAGAATATTTCTCATTGTTCAAATGATAATAAACATTTGCATAAAGCATATTTGTCCACTCATATGTTGAAAAGAGTATTAAAAACTTGAAAAATATTCCTCTAAGGTACATTTAGAACAGATAAAAAATGTGCGATTAATTGCGATTAACTATGGACAATCATGCGATTAAATATTTTAATCGACTGACAGCCCTAATTAAAAAAATGTTCTATAAAAAATTAGATTAGCTTCAACTTTATTGTCATAGCACAGAGTACATGTGCTATGACAGTTAGCATCTAACCAGAAGTGCAAGACAAGTAAGAAAGCAGTTTCATTCAGAGTATAATATAAATATATACATATCAAAGGGAAGCCATATTAAGCCTTGAGCGTGTGGGTCACATGTTCTGTTTCCCCTCTCCCCGTGCACAGACTGAGCGTTCTGTTCCTCTGCAGGTGCTGTGTGTGAAGAACCTGAGTGCTCGGGCCTCGCTGGCCCAGCTGGTGGCGCTGTTCTCCAGGTACGAGCAGCAGAGCGCTCCCCCGCTGCTCTACCGCCTGCTGACAGGACGCATGAAGGGCCAGGCCTTCATCACTCTGCCAGGTGAGAAACTATGACATCATTACGGTTTGGGAGGGAGGCGTGTGGCGCAGTGGATTGAGCGTTGGTGTTCAGATCAGAGGGGCACAGGTTCAAACCCCACTGCAGTCAGCATGTCGTTGTGTCCCTGAGACACTTCACCCCAAATTGCTCCTGTGGGGATTGTCCACAGTATTGAGTATGTCACTTTGGATAAAAGAGACTAACAAGTGACATGTGATGTAAGAGGTAGTGTGGAGCAGAAATGTGCAACAAAGTGAAATGTCTTCCTGTTTAACCCCGTATTCAGACATTACACTCTGTTTCACATTTCTGCTCCACACTACCTCTTTTTAACTCTGCACAGCTCTCCACTTTGAATATAGTATTTGTCATATTTAATTTACTTTATTCTTACATGTAGATATTGTCTTTATTTTTGATTTGTTACAAGATTGTTCCTATTTATTTACATGGACATAACAACATTATACGGGAGATTGTCCGGTGCCTTGCTCAAGGGCACCACGGCAGGGCCCAGGAGGTGAACTGGGGTCTCTCCAAGTAGCAGTCCATACTCCATATTTAGGAGGAAGAGGGATGAAGGGGATGATGAAGATCTGGATTTGATGAGGAAGAGGGATGAAGAGGATG